GCAGCCTGCAGGGATGCAGGGTCTACTCAGAATCTGCAGAACCGGGCCAGGACAGCCCTAGCCTAGAGCTCTAGAAACAGCTTAATTAACTATGGTTATTCCTTATTCCAATAGCCAAGTTACCTGCCCTACAGTTACTGTTAATAAGGGAACTGAGTGTTTGTTGTTTGCTCCACTAGACACACACACACACACACACACATTACATAGAAAAAAAAGGTGCAGTACTTCAAGGCTGTTCAGAGTAGGAAGCACAAGAGAAATTTGCTGCTCAGCTGGGGGATAGTGCCGGGGTTTCATACCAGGCTGTCAGTCTGTTATGTAACTCCTCTCCTTGTAGCTGTATGCTTTTTGGTGTAATATGCTGTTCTTGATTCTTGTAACATGAATGAGATTTGCCATGCCTGGAAACCTTATTTGATAAACGTATAAGCCATCTGGAGAGAGCAAGGGGTAAGCAAGGACGCCAGGGCACTGTTCGGGAAAGGCAGTCACACACATATCCATTCCACCCTGTGCTTTGGTTGGGGTGCAACTATGTCTCTGAGGCATCAGTATCACCAGCACCTGGGTGTACTGAGGCCTGATTCGTTCATGGAGAAGAATGTGGGCGACAGAACTACTGAGGTGGGTAGACTACATCACTTCAGGCGGCAGGGGGAGCATTATATTTTGGCATGTGCCCTCTGTGGTAACCTTGCCCACCTATACCCTTGTCAATGAAAAGCTGTGACAACAAGCAAAGAGAAGGAGCAGAATCTCCCTGTTCTGTGCTAGCTTTTTAATGGCATGGAGTTTTTATGTGCAGAATTCAAAGCTGGAATCTGCCACCTGCAATCCTAAGGGGTACAGTCCATTTTGCCATATATGAACCAAACCAGAGGCCTAGTTCATTTTCTCCAGGGGAATTGACCTGTGTAGGCTGGAGATGAGTTGTCATTTGAGGAGAACTCCAGGTTCCACCCAGAGGCTGGCAGCTGTACATGAAATGATAAAACTATTCCTGGACTATACCACTTTAGATTGCAAGTGGATGTGTAATTGTTGAATATGTCCCCATGAAGGGTATGTGTGTTTCCCTGCCAATAGAAAACAAGCAGTCCTGTCACTTTGCTGTTCTTGTTTTCTGTTTGCTGGAGCCTTGTACCATAGGAGAACATCCCAAAACGTGGACCTCTATGATCCTCCACCTGTAATGTGAATGGGGCAGTCTGTTCTGCCACCTTGTTTTCCTAATCAGGTTGGAAGTAGTAGAGCTGGGGGATAATTTTTTTGTCTCCGGTGAATGAAGCCATTGTTCCAGTATGGAGGAGATGGGACATGTGGGAAGGGGAAGGTAAGATAAGATAAGATGCAAAAAGTTCTATTCTAGGCAGGATGGAAAAGTGTGGAGACAGGAAGCATGGCCTGCTTCCTGCTTCCCTCCCGAATCTTCAGTATATTTGAAGCAGCTTTTACCACTATAAACAAACGAGTCCATGTACTAGGAGTGCAAAGATGCAGATCCTTTTGCTTTAAAAGGGGGGTTATTATTCTGTGCAGATGTTAATACTACTACTGAAATCTGCCTGCTGCCTCTGTTCCCCCACACAATCTGAAATGGTGTCATTGGGACACAGTGGGTGCATTCAGACTAGGGTTGCCAAATGTTTTTTGGCCGGGAGTGGGGGGCTCCCGGCTGGCGTCTTAGGTGTGTGTGCACGCGCCGCATGCGCATCACCCGGAGGTGATGTCGCACACTGGGGGCGGGGCCACACCATTTGAGGGGAAAACAAAGAGTTTTCCCCTCAAATGGCGTGGCCCCGCCCCCAGCGTGCGACGTCACTTCCGGGTGATGCGCACGCGGGGGTGGGGTTCCCCCGGGCCCCGATTCCGCGGGAGCGGAAATCGGGGCTCGAAAGTGGGGGGAATTCCGCCCCCCGGGAGCATTTGGCAGCCCTAATTCAGGCGTGCATTTAAGCCAGTATAGATGCTGGTTAGAATCTGAGTACTTACGCGCGATCACACAGCGAACATCTGCCTTCCGTCCCTAACCGTCACAAACACCGTTTAAACCGGTGTATTCTGCTACTAGGTCCCCAAGTGGTATCCTGAGTGCTCCGGTTCCAACCGCATTATCCCCGTCTGATCACTCTCCGCCAGTGTAGAGCCACTTCCATTTGGAAGCCTGAGGCTTCCGCTTTTCAGCCACCATTTTTTTTAAGCCTCCTCAATGTGCGCTTGGGCGAAGCTTCGCCCTGACGTTCGTTTTTTTTTTAAAAAAGATGCTTAGTTTTAGGCTGCGGACGAGTCCGGGACCACACAGAGGCCCTTTTCACTGTAAAAGTTTAAAGGGAAGTCTTTGCTTCAGGGCACGCTTTTCGGGACAGGGTGTTCTGCGCCTGCGCGAAGATCTCAACTCTGTGGATGGCTGCCTATGTGCATGTGCAAAATGTAAAAAAATTTTAAAAATAAACCGCCAACATGCGCTGCTGCGCGTCGGTAGTGTGAATGGGCATATCGTGATGTGCTGCGCAGTCAGGAGGTTAGTGTGATCACGTTCCAACCGGAGCAGTTTATGCCAGCTTAAATGGCCCGTCTAAACACACCCAGTGTTACCTACACACCAGTACTTATGGCATTCTGAAAATCATTTCATGATCCATATCCCTGGAATTCAGGAAAGCAATTGGGATGAGGTGGTAGCTCTAGAGAACAGTACTGTAATATTAGGTTTCAGGGGTTGATAATGAAATAAACTGAGGGGAGAAGGGTTGTTTTGATAGTGCTGATGTAAATGCTGTTAGTTATATTTTATTTTGTAGTGTGTATTTAACAAGATGTTCACCCTGCCTTTCTCCCCTCACATGATGACAGTGGTAATGCTTCTGCCTTAAAGTAATCCATTTTATCCGAATATTGTGCAACTAACAATCCAAGTCTGCCCTAGCTCTAAGGAAGGGTGTGTGTCTCTGTGGAATATAAATTACTGTAGATAGAAATAAAGTAAGCATTACTATAGATAGAAATAAAGTAAGCAGCAAGCTAAAGTTCTATGTTTTCCCAAAATCCTCTGGGCTACAAATATGTTGCAATAGTTAAAAAATAAAGTAATTTATATGCTTCAAAACATTAGTGAGGGGAATGATGATGTCCCCCCCCCCCCAATTCTACAGAAGGAAAATCCACCTTTAGCAGCTCCTTGTTTCTGGGCCATCGTAAATATGTATTTGGATAATACATTTAATAAATTGCTTCGAATACTAGAAAAATGGCATATACATTTTTTTTACATTTAACTACACTGATAGTAGTAACTCTATAATAAAAAATTATATAAATACTCCAGATTGTCTAAATTATGAGGAGTTGCTGTTTCTAGTTTCAGGATAAGGAAATGTTACTTAATGCTATGACTTGATTCCCTTGCTTTCTTAGAGCAAAATTCTGTGGAATTCCACATCTCAAAGGCTGTGCCTTGATGGCAGGCTTAAGGAGAAGCACCTCTGCACATTAATTAGGAGAATGTCCAAAAAACACCCAAGATCCAGCAAAATTCTGAGGGGACAGAGGAGCTGCTTGCTCATACTTCAGTCCTAAAGAGAGCTCTGCCTTTCTAAGTCCATTGACTTCAGTGGAATTAGATGGGCATAACACTGTTTAGGATTGCGCTCTCTCTGGGCTGTGTGCTTGACTGAAGGCAGCTTGGTTATAAAACACTTCTAGCCACTCCAGCCTGACTTGGGTTGTTTGCATTTGTTTTGGTATTAAAAAGCTCTATCGCATGTCAGCAGCCGCTGTGTGCCAGACACATTTCATCCAATGAATATTGTGTCTAATTCTTGATGCTATAGTGGCAAGGATGAGACTTGCATTATATCTCGTTTCCAAATTTTTGTGAGGCCCACACGGGATAATCTTTCCCCGTCTCAACTGCTCTTCCACTTCTCCCATTTTACCATCAGAGTGGTCTGATATCTTTCTGAATTAAAGATTAACAAAAATGGCTACCAGGTAGTATTTGTATAGCAATAACAATAAGCAAGTGGTAAAGAATGCATGTAGCTGTAATCTCTACTGTGAATCTAGACAGCTTTTGCAGAATTTGGACTCTCTCTCTCTCTCTCTCTCTCTCTCTCTCTCTCTCTCTCTCTCTTTTTAGACCTTTACAGTTCTCAGAAGTCTGAGAGGAAAAAATACTTCGACATATGGGGTGCTCCTGCTAAAGTCTTTAAAACCACAGGAAGAGTGAGACTTGTACTTGCTAAAGGGTAGGATTTCTTTGCTCACAGCTGCTGCGTCTTTTTCTGGGCGTCCCTCCCTCTTTTCCTACATACCTGCAGCCCCTTTGTATCATACCAATCTACCTTCTTTCTCTTATATTTGCTTTTTCTAATTATTTTTTTTAATATGTGAAACATCCATATTAACTATAGATAAGCAGCTTATTCTTGGAATTGAAGACTTATTTTAGCCCAGAATTCCACAGAGCTAGCAACCTTTTGAAATCTGATTCTGCCTTTTGTTTTCACAGGTATCTGAACAGTGGTTTAAGCCTTTGCCCGGAATCCAGATCTGTAGACTTGAAGATCCAAAGTCTGCTTTCAACCTGCCACAGGGCTGGTATCTCTCTAAGAAGAGCTGAAGAGTTGTTGGGATGCTTGGGCTCATCTAGGGAAGCTAAACATAATGCCTTATGTTCTCTGGACCTGTTAAGAAACTATTAATCTTTTCTTCTTGACTACACCAAGCAGCTGGGATTCAGTACTTAAGTGCTGAGTTATCATTGGTTTAATTGATTGCATATTCTTGAATAGGGCTTCATCTCCTCTCCATTCCCTTTTAAAGGAGTGCTATTCCCAGTAGCATTTATCATCATTAAAAGACTTTTTAATGCACCGTGGGATTTCTGAATATATTTTCACTTGTTGGGCTTTGCTTCACCGTACTGCTTCTTTGGAGTTACCACACACACAACACTGTGATGCCTTCGTAAATCAAAGGAGCAGCTGCCCTTCTTCATGATGGGGAGAGAGCAGGAACTGATCCAAGCTGTGAAAAATGGAGACGTACTTGGTGTGCAGAAATTGGTGGCTAAGGTCAAGGCATCCAAAACTAGTGAGTATTTTCCTATATATTAACTCAGTTATTCTTTCCCCCACATGATTTGCCAACACCCACCCCCAGAGGAGTAATAAAGTTTTGTGAGTCTGTTGCCACATGGCTGGTACTGAATTTGGGACAGGTGTATCACAAGGAATAAAGGGGGAATTGCTTCTGGGCCAAGAGCTGGAAACAACAGATGAGTCCACAACATGGACAGGTTCCAAGTATTAATAGGAACACAGAAGGCAACTGCTGCTGGGGTATGAAAGTTGTGCTACTTGTCTTTGGGTCCACAGGAAGAGCAACCAGGAAACAACGTTTGCTGTGCCCATATTTTGGGAGTACCAATGGGATAGATCTTGGAATTGTTCTTTGGTGTAGTGCAGGGGTGTCAAACATGTGGCCTGAGGGCTGGATCAGGTCCTCGGAGGGCCCCAATCCAGCCCTCAAGGACCATTAGCTGAGGCTCCTCCCTGAAGGTAGGCTGGGAATGAGGAAGAGCTTGCTTTGCTGGGCTTCCTCAATCGCACGGGAGAAATAACAAGCACCTTTAAGACCAACAAAGTTTTGTTCAAGGTATGAGCTTTTGTGTGCCTTGCTACAGTGTGTGTGTGTTTTGTTGGGCTCTTTATACCAGGGCTCTCCTGGGTGCAATTAGGTTCCCTCCCCCTTTTCACTGTATTCATACCTTCATGATCTAGTCTTTCTCAGTAAGGAAACAATGTGAACTATTTTAGAGGAGGAATAACAAAAAGCCAGTGAGGTGGATTAGGCTGAGAATGTGTGTCTAGACCAGTGAGGTGGATTAGGCTGAGAATGTATGTCCAGACCAAGTTCACCCAGCACATTTCCTTTGTAGGAAGTTGTAGTTATTTCTCAAGAACAGTTCTCTCCTCTCTCAGCCCCACCTACCTCAAAGGGTGTCTGTTGTGGGGAGAGGAAGGGAAAGGAGATTGTAAGCCACTCTGAGACTCCCAAGTAAAGGGCACGGTATAAATCCAATCTCTTTGTCTTCTTATAGTTGCATTCTGTGGATGCAGATCCAGTATGTGTTTATGATACCTAATCTGTAAGAGTGCTGAAAATCATTACAGTTAGTAGTACTGGTGCTGAATTTCATGTGTTATTGTGAAACAAGTCCCAAATATTTGAAACTCAAGTAGCTGAAGAAAGCCATTGGCCCAGTTTTTGTGTACAGTTCCATGGCCACTTTCCCCTATAATGTTATCCCTCTGATATGCCAATACCCACGTGTGGTCATCTCCATGCTATCTGTAAGCATGCTTGTTGTCAAAGAGATGAAATTAACAGGGAGGGGTTGTGGCTCAGTGGTGGAACATCTGCTTGGCATGCAGAAGGTCCCAGGTTCAATCCCCAGCATCTCCAGTTAAAAGGATCAGGATGTGAAGACCTCCACTTGAGACCCTGGAGAGCTGCTGCCAGTCTGAGTACACAATACTGACCTTGATGGATTGACTCAGTATGAGGCAGCTTCATGTGTTCAATGATTTTGTCCTCTGGGCTCTACTTAACACTGCTGCTGCTCCAGAAGTTGTCAGTTAAGAATCTCAGGGTGTTCTTCTGCACTGCTGATCAGGCTGCACACGAAATGCATGCACACAAAAGCTTATCTCCCTTATATAAAAAAGTCGAATGGTGGTGGTACTTCTCTAGAACATTCCACACGCTCCATAATTGGTTGGCACTCTGGTGTGTCACTCACACTGCGTCTCTCTCCATTCGCTGTGCTGCCGCCGCCCACGGAGGCAGTGACCACCCTTTTGCCCTCAGTTTCCTTCGAGCCACTGGACGGGCTGGGTGCTCCACTGGCCAGACACCTTGCTCGGCCTGCAGGCCCCAGACACCGCCAGCCAAGAGGAGCTGCTGCCAGCCAAGAGGAGGCCCAGGCCGACATGCGCTGGCTTCACCCACCCGCCTGGAAATGGGCAGTGGCCCATTCCCTTGCACCTCCCCCATGCTGTCTGCGGATGAGGGGAGATGGCACCGTACCACCGCGCCTGAGGCCGGCCAGGGAGCCAGGCCCAGCCTGTCCCATCGCCCCATGGCAGGGACGGATGAGGCCAGGTGGCTTGGCCCGCCGGGGCCTTGACCACACGGTGGCGGGAGGGCTGAGGAGAGGGGGCCAGGGAAGGAGACGTGGGCCCACACCCGGCTGCCCGAGCTGCCACTCATTGCAGGGAGACGGATGAGCCCGGTCTGCTTGCCCCGCCGAGGCCTCGCTTGGCTGGGGGTGGCGGCGGGAGCAGCCAACCCAGGCGCCTTGACCCGCCGGGGCCTTGACCCCGCAGGGGGGAGTGCGGGCTGCTTCCCCGAGTTGGGGTGGGTGGGAAGCGGACAGTGCCCTGTACCCGGCTGGGCTCGCACCCGTTGCAGGGAGAGGGGCAAGCCTGGCCGGTTTCCCCTGCTGGCGCCTCGATCGGGCGGGGGTGCCGGGGGGAGGGGCGAGGCCAGGCGCCTTGGCCTGCCAGAGCCTCGACTGTGCAGGGCAGGATGGCCAGCTTCGCCGTGGGGGGGGGGGGCGGATGGAGAAGGCGGCCTGCACCCACGCGGCCAGGCTAGCGCTCGATGTCTTTAGTTCCACAACGGGCCTTCTTCCTAGTACCTTGAATAAAACTTTGTTAATCTTAAAGGTGCCAGTGGACTCAAACTTTGTTCTGTTGCTTCAGACCAACATGGCTACTCACCTGAACGTATGGGTGATGGATGGTTATGCTTCACAGATGGTTTGTCTGTTGTCTTGAATGCCTAAAATATTTCTGATCAGCTGATCGGGAAAAATTATGACCATAGGTTCTTGTGAGCCAATGTACTCTGGAAGGTGGTACTAATTTAAATGTTCTCTGTGTTGCTGGTTTTCATCTGTGGTGTTGCAGTGGACAAAGGGTATCTATGGGCATGGTCTTCTGTAACCTGTGTTGCTCTGTGTTGCTCTTGTGCTACAGATGGGAGTTTCTGGGCCTGAGTATCTGGTGAGTCTCTGTTAAACCAAACCATTTTTTAAAAAATCTGGGTAAGTTATTCTGTGAGAATAAGAGCAGCTCTCTATGTGTGCGCATGTGTTTGCGTGTGTGCTCATTAACAGGAAACAGCAGCTAGGTTGGAGAGTGAGAAAATGAGAAGATAAAAACTTCTGGGTTACAAACAGCAAATATCCTTCTTGTTGGGTGAAAGATGTAGGGCATCAGCTTAGTACTGGATTTACGGAGCAGATGTTTTTGCTATCCCGGAAGCTGCAGCTGGGGAAACATAGGTTTGTTTCTACTGATATTGCAGAACCCAAGGCAGATAACATTCACTCACTCTATTTCCAGATAAAGTTGCACTGCACTGAGTTCTGTTGGAGGATGCTAAAGGGCTCCATGAATTTAAGGGTGATTGAATAGAAGGGCACTGCTCACTTGTTTGAGCACAAAAATAAGGGATTTGGGTGAGACTTCAAAAAAATCTAGGGGGGAGTGGGGGAGATGGTATCGAGAGAGTCTACTATGACTTGCAAAGATTAAAGTGTAAGTGAAATTTCAATGCTGGGAGTGAAGGTGATGAACTGATTACTTCAGTATTACTTTTGCATCACACACACATTTGTTGTTTTTTTAAAATAATCCAGTGCATTTATTTCTTGCAATGTGTATGGAAGTTTCCATTTTGATTTCAGCACATACATGACAATTATCAATACTAGAAGCAAAACAGCCAAGGGGTTGAAACTGAGAAAACATGAAGAAAACATGAGAAAACTGCCAGATTTGTTTTTTGTTGGAAGAAAACATGAGAAAACATGAGAAAACATGAGAAAACTGCCAGATTTGTTTTTTGTTGGAAGATAAAGTCAAATATAGGAAGCAAATTTTCTCTTCAAGGTTAGCCAGAGGTCATTTCGGGGGGAACGTGGGGGAACGCAGTTCCCCCGGGTGAGGTACCGGGGGCGGGGCACATGACGAAGCTCCGCCCCCTGCTTCCGGCCGCCCCGCTTCTGGACCTCATTCAGCCAGGAGGAGGCAGGAGAAGAGGGAGGGTAAGTTGCTTCCTCCCTGCCTCTCCCCACCCCTGCCTGCCTGGGGCCAGGGAGGGCCTTCGCGGGGCTTCCTTGCACTCCCGCCGGCCTTGCAGGTCCACCGCCGGGCCCCTCATGGGGCTCGGCAGTGGACCTGCAAGGCCGGCGGTGGCGGCCGGGACCGTTGGGGGCGGGGTGTGTGGCCTTATGACACATTTCTGGTGATGTCAGGGGGTGTGGCCTTATGACACACTTCCGGTGATGTCAGGGGGTGTGGCATATGCTAATGAGTTATGCTAATGAGTTCCCCTAGCTCTTTTTCTACGAAATGACCCCTGAGGGTAGCAACTAATCAGAATCATCCATAAGTACAGCAGACAGTGAGTAGTCTATCATTTTCTCTGCAGGACAGAAATTTACACAACATTTCATATAGATGTTGAGAATTTACCATGAGCATATGTATTTTTATATCTAATAGCAGGTTTAGAGACATATTTACTGCTCTGTGTATCAGATAAGCAATCTGATGCGGTGTCTGGGACATTAATATCCACAACTGAGTGTGGACATTGCCCTTGAAAAAGCCCGAAACAGATACTCTGGCTCTTTCAATTCTTTGTACTTAACACAAAAGCATGTAATCTGATCAATGGTGTAGTATACTTCACGTTAACTGTCAGTGACACAAAAATTAAATGAACTGATTCCTGCTAGAAAGCACACCTTTATTGCTTCTGTAATTGCAGAAGGATTTCAAACTGGAATTCTGCTTTGTTTTGTTTCCCCCCACTAGGAATAGAACTTCAAACACCTCTGGCATTCTCTCAGTAGATTCATATAATGCACTCTCTCAGTAGATTCATATAATGCACTCTCTCAGATTCATATAATGCATTCTCTCAGTAGATTCATATAATGCTTCTGCAATCCACAACAGCAACTTCATATTTAGAAGCTTAACATTCTCTTCTAGTTGTCCTCACTCTTTTTTAAA